ATCTGTTCACTGGAGATGGCGACCCATACGGTTATTGCGATAAGGTGAATCATGAAATTCCGTTAAGTGATCCGAAAGTAAGGTCATTTTTAACGCGAAGAGTTCCATGTCATCTGGAAGGCGAAGTGGAGCGACAAGTGCAAGAGATGTTAAAAGATGATATTATTGAGGAAGCTGATAGCCCGTACAACTCTCCAGTGCTGTTAGTAAAAAAAGCGAATGGGAAGTATAGATTCTGTGTTGATTTTCGACAGTTAAACAGTATGACAGAGTTAAGACCGTGTGCCATGCCAACAGTGGTAGAAACTTTAGATCGCCTACAAGGTGCGAATGTGTTTTCGGTTCTCGATCTTCGCTCAGGATACTGGCAGATACCGATAAAACAAGGTGATAGAGATAAGACGGCTTTCATCGTGGGTCAGACACAATATCGATTTAAACGCATGCCGTTTGGACTAGCAGGTGCACCGTTTACGTTCAGACGACTGATGAAGCTATTACTTAGAACTTGAAAAACGTGGAGGTTTATGGTGATGATCTCGTCATATACAGTCAAAACGAAAACGATCACGTCAACCATGTAGAAGCCGTGCTGCGACGCATCGAAGAGTTTGGACTACGCGTCAACAAAACCAAGTCTCAGATAGCCAAAAAGAATGTTACTCTGTTGGGACATAAAGTGGGAAATGGTGAGATTAAACCACTGCCGGAGAAAATTTTGACGATTAAAACGATTCCAGCCCCGAATTCAAAGAGAAAACTGAGACAATTCTTGGGTAGAGCAGCGTTTTATAGTCGCTTCGTGAAGAACTTCAATGAGATAGCAGCCCCTCTATACAGGCTACTAGGTGAGCCAAAGTTTGTTTGGTCGGAAGAATCGCAGAGGACATTCGACAGAATTAAACAGCTGCTCGACCACCAACAAATGACGCTAAAACTACCTGTGCCAGGAAGACAGTTCACAGTGTGCACAGATGCCAGTGACTACGCTATAGGTGCGGTCCTAAGACAGGACGAGGGAATCGTTGAGTATGCCAGTAGGGTTTTGACCCTCACAGAGAGAAAGTATTCAACGATAGAGAAAGAATGTTTAGCAATGGTATGGGCAGTCGACAAATGGAGACCTTATTTACTCGGCCGGCGGTTCCACATCGAAACTGATCATAAGCCGCTACAATTTTTGAAGACAGCGAGAGACCCACGGGGGAAGTTGTCACGGTGGATGTTGCGTCTTCAGGAGTACGATTTTACGGTATAGAAGTGGATCAAACTACAGCGAGTAAGGAGCTAACCACACTACTCAGACAGAGGGATCGACTCAGAGTGAATGCCTACGGGACTCTGACCTGGCGAGAGAACGACGGAAGCTGGCTGGCTGTCATACCTCAATCGTCGCGCCACGACATGATAAAAGAATGTCACCAGCTAGCGCATACAGGCGTGGCCAGAACGACCGACCTCCTAAGACAAAGTATGTACTGGCCAGGTATGAGAGAAGACGTAGCAAGATACGTACTTGGATGTCCACGGTGCCAGCTGATGAAAGGTGACCGGTATATACGACCACCACTTCAGTCGATTCCAGTTACCGCGGTAGGTGACTTGTGGTCCGTAGATGTCATGGGTCCATTTCCTCAGACATCCAATGGTAATCAGTACCTCTTGGTGATGACGGAACACGCGACACGATGGGTAGACGCCGTAGCAATCCCAGACCAACGTGCAAGAACCGTGACAGATGCAGTAGTTAGACACATTGTTGCAGACCACGGCGTACCGAAGACAATACTGACAGACCAAGGTCCCTGTTTAGAGAGTGAAGAGTTTACTTCCCGTTTGCAACAGCTGGGCATCAAGAGGATCAGAACGACCCCATACCATCCACAAACGAATGGCCTAACGGAGAGAAACAACCGTACACTGAAGGAGTGGCTGGCCTCGAAGGGCGGGAACTGGGAAACGGAGCTTCCACTGATTTTACTAACACATCGGGCTACCACTCAGGAAACAACGAAGAAGTCACCCTTCCAACTGATGTATGGTAGAAAACCACGATTTCCGGTACACAATGAGACCTGGCCCATGCACCAAAAGTGGAGTACGACGAAATTAAAAGCAGAGAGGAAAGAGGCAGTCAAGAATGTAATACAGAAGCAGCGCAGTGATGTCATGAAGTCTCAGATGAAAGAAAGGACGCAGTGCATTACCTTTGCAGTCGGGGACCAAGTGAAGTGTAGAGACAGGAGATATACAGTTGGAGGCGGGCTAGGTTCACGGAAACTCCTTCCAAAGTGGGAAGGACCATACACAATCACAAAAAGACGGGGTCAAGTATATACCATCCGAAGAGGTGATAAACAGAAACGAGTTAACGCCAGTCAGCTCCAAAGATGGGTACAGTGGGACAAGCCGGTCAGTAACAATCCTCAACTAGAGGATGTAGCACCCAGAAGGTCGGAACGTCTGCGCACGAAGCTATTTGACGGGGGGACGAGTGTGGTGAGAGCAGGCTGCTAGCCGATTGGTTGGCACTAATCTACGTTAAGGTCTAGGTCACTAATATGGGCCGTGAGAAAATATGAACAAGCCTGAGTCAACAACCAATCACAGCAAAGTTAACGTGGCAAAATATGATTCTCAGAGAGAACTCTATTTGTCAAGGAATCCCGAAACAACCAATCAGAAGCCTGCGTTTGTCTGCTTAACTTCCGAGAAACAACCAATCAGAAGACTGCCTTTTTCTGCTTGCATAAGCCTTATTAATGCACATAAAATATATATGAATACGTGTTGATTTTCGTAATAAAACGATCTGTTGCCAGCCCTTGTCTTCTGTTGTTACACTAGCTCATCTCATCAATACTGAACATCAAGTCGGCTCCAACACAGCTTTTACAGTTATTTATCGTATTTCACCCAACCTGTCTCATGGTCTACCAGTACGAATTTTAAATACAGTAGAGGCAATCAGAATTCATTTGAATAAGCCAAATTTGTGTGTTCAAAAGAAATCTATGCAACTCCTTTTTTTGCCTTGGTCAATTACACAATACGTATTAGGTTTCCCAAAAGATTCTCCCCTTATTACTATCTTCTGGCTTTCTTATTTTATTACGATTACAGTTCTAGCTAATTCAGTTGGTTTGTTTGTATCTCATGTAGTTCCAATCTTCCATTCTACTTTCCATTGTCATCATTATTTTACAAATTTCTTGATTATGCGATAACTTGTCGCTAGTCCCTACGAATTAACTACTCATGAATTTCGTAATTATCTTTATCCCTCTCTCAAAATTGAGATATCTTGTTACTAACATCTATTGGCTAGTTGTTTTGTTGACTTCTAACCTCTTAATTTCACTCCCCCCCTGTGTACCTAAAACTGACGGACTAAAATAATCACATAATTGGTAAAATTTTGATATATAAAACTGTATATTAGTGTAGAACCGATGACGAGGAACTAATTGAAAAGGGAAATATTTTTTCGTTCAATTCTTTTCCTTTCCTCAATGACTAGATTGAGTAAGATACTTGTACAGTTTATAATTTATCGTTGAAATGAGTAACTGTTAATATTATCAACTCTAAATCTGATTGATCTATGTTAATATATATATCTGAGACAGTAGTGGTCCAGTGAAAATCGGTTTACTTTCTGTTAACTTGTATTGACAATAATGAAGTTCGAATCATATACTGCAATGGTCCCCGTTAATTGGTTGTTACTACTGGGAAATTTACTGCTATATTTTCACTGACATCAACTTCTCAAATTTTGATCATCATATGGATGTACTACTGACTAATATGAAGGCGATTGAGTCTCTATGAAATTACACGTAGCACGCAACTATTTAGTCTAGTAATTCTAGATTGATGATTTCGAGTTTGTTGGAAAAGATAAAAGAATTAAGTAGTTTTAATTGAAGCAAATATCATTTGTGTGACAGGTCTATTTAAAACAAACCTACTGAGATGGCTTCTGTTTCTGTTTTCATAAAATTACCAGTTACTCGATAAAACAATAACAGTTTATAATTAATGAACATTTAAACAACAGTTAGTGCATTATTACACCCAACTAGTGATTTCCTAATGAGACTATGTAAAAATATTCTAATTTGATTCACTACTCTACAGTCTACTGACTTTTCAGGTTGATGATTCGGCAAACAGAGAGAACAACTGCTGCAAGCAGATAAAAAGACGAAGAAAAAAAACTATCGAGGCAAATCCAAACCCTGATATAGGTGTACACTATTCAAAGTTTTTGATGTGGTTTTGTTCTCTGAGCTGGATGGTTAGTTTGTGAAGCTTTCATCACCTTACTGGGTGACATCTCCAGCGCATACTTCAATTTGAAGTATGCGCTGGAGATGTCACCCAGTAAGGTGATGAAAGCTTCACAAACTAACCATCCAGCTCAGAGAACAAAACCACATCAAAATCATCCACCTGAGCTACAAATCTTCTCTATCATAACTATTCAAAGTTGTCGCGAAATTCAAGGTTATAAGAAGAAAGAGTAGTAAGAAAGAGAATAAGACGGGAGTTGAAGATAAGGTTTCGAGTTTGGTGATTCAACAGTCATGGTGTTGTTTCTTTTTTACTAGGTGTGGTTGTTAGTCTCACTCCTGACCGTATCTCTTCCAGTTAATAAATTAGGTGAGTCTTAGGAATGAGTTACTTGGGGACCGAATTCAAACTTCCAACGTGGCTGGAAAGTATTCCACCATTAAACCACCGGGGTACTATTGAAGGAGATAAAAAGAATGGCTAAATAATCCTCGAAATTTAATTGATGAAGATTAAGTGTTGTATCTGCAATCGGTGATTTTTAACTGTTATTAAGTCAATGTACTATGTACTGTGTAATAACAGTTTTTCGCGCCAGTGAGTTAAACTCAATAGCTCTCAAGTTGTGTAGCCCCTATATACAGTTACAAATGATATTCAGCAGTGTTAAAGAAAAAAAGGAAGTGATTTCCGATGATCATCTTTATTTTATCTGTGTAAAAATGCTGGTAAATTTAATATGATATGACATGATATGAGTTTAAAAGAATACGAAAATTATTATTATACAAATAATTTTACGCTTTAACTAGTATATCACTACTTGACGTCTGCTTCGATATAATGCTAATATTATCACGTGCAGATAATTCCGTGTTTGTTGTGATATTGCATGAGCCATATTCAGTAGAAATTCGAATAAACTGTTGATATTCAATGTGAGATAATAACGCGAATGAGATAATTAGTCCAATTATCTGAAATGAAGAAAGTAACAAACTGTATAATCGTGTAAACATAAATAGTGTAAAATATACAATTCGAAGAAGGAATCAAGTGAACAACTTACAGATAAAACAAGAGCAGTTGTCCCTGAAGCAGCCAACATGATGGCATACTGCCGATAATCTTGCTTGACGACTGTTACACACCCCTTATAATAAAGAAGAGAATATGAAGGTGAAAAGCACCGAAAACCTTACCTGTTCGTGCAAATAAGCATTACTTCGTGTTATATATCCTGGATTGTCGATACGAGGAGCAATATCATCTCTTGCAGAAAGTGACTTATAACCGACACAGATTTCTCTGTCTAGGAAAACATCACTTTTTAATTGAAGTTCTGTGAAAGAATTGAACTCAAAATATTTATCCTTTAAGACACAACAACTTTCTGGGACATATTGAAGTTGAGATTTTGAAGCTGTGTGAAAATTCAATGAAAAAATAATGAAAACTATTCTTTCTGGTAACCTAAAATAAATTTACATTAACTGGATATAAGTGAAATAAAGTTTGGACAACTTTGCCTAAATTAGTTTAATTATTCAGTGTCAACTGCAGTTTGGTGTATATTTAAATACTCGCATTTATCAGTGTTGATTATGCTCAGGAATAGTTTGAACTGATTCAAATACTGGAATATGGTCATTTAAGCTTTGAAAAGTGTTTTGACTACAGTTTTATTCCCAGATCTATTTATGTCCAGTGAAAATGTAAAGTTGGTAAACTTCATGTTATTTGTGGTTGTGTCATTTGAAGACATAATCAATGATCACAGGCTTGGGCGTTTACAAAATTTTTAAAGTCTAAATACCGACCATCTAACATAACAACAGCTTTAATCGAATTAGTGGGTTTTTTATTACAGCTTGATTCCACACCGTATTTTTGGTACAGGTATGAGATTTTCAGCATGTGATATCGTTAGCCAAAATTTTGCAGGCCGATCATAGATGTCAGGTGTGGGTCGGTAGAGGATCGAACCTCGGACCATGTGCATGGTCGGCGAGAGTCCTAACCACTGTGCCACCGACGCACACACAACCAAGCTATTAGTAAACAAACGAAGAGATTGTGTTAGCAGTTAAAGTTCCTAACTGCTAGTTCCAAGGGCATAGATTTGGTCTGACTGTTTAAAGCACACAAAACGTTACGAGTTGATTTATTGGGGATCAGTATGAAGCAGAATACGATATATTCGTGATTTGTCATTTTAGAAGTCCTGAACATTTTCGCTATCACAAAATACTACTTTAAAAATGTGATTATTTATACTCGGAAACAGCTTTTATATTGTGTAGAAACAAACTTCTATAAGATGAACTTCGTCTCTTTTCCAAGTGTATAATTTTCAGTATAATCTACGAAAGAATGTTAAAAAGGACCAGAAGATATATTGTTCGAGAGGAATTTTCCGTATTACCTGCATCTTGTTAGTCTATCGTTAGCCATCCTATGGGATGGTGGCTTTTATGTCTTATACAATAAACACAACAGTTCAATTTGTAAAACTTCGCAAAAAACGTGGAGAATTAGTGCAGTGAATCTAAAATGGACAAAAATGTACCAAAGACAGAATAATATAATGAAGATCACTAAATATTTTCGAGATATGTTTAAGAAATCTTAAATTTTGAACCATGTCACTGAGATACCCTAATGACCGATTCGTCCGATTCAGAAAGCCCCAGCTTGGTAGTCTTCGTATCCCTACATGACTCAGAACAGCAGGCAGTAATTTCATAATTTACTGATAGTTTTTATTCTAATTATTTCTGTCATTTTACAGATCTCATCCTTCTATATTTTAGAACGATTATCAAATCGGGAATGAATGAGTAGTGTTGTAGCCACAATATTCGATGGGCATCTTTCTGATAGACACCACTGGTTATTATCACTTCGTATAATAACCGATAAGTCAGTTCGAGATGAAAAACTTGGTTAGCACAGTATATTATCTTGGTACTGCCTTCACAACTGCACTTTATCTCCCAAAATGATGCAGCTGAATGTCGTTCCCACGTTAAGAAACATTACGTTTGTTCGACGGTGGTAAGTGTGCTAGTTTTCAAGAAAGCCACTACCTTCAACATGGTGTTGATGGTGATCAAGTGAATCAGTACGTTTCCTTATGTTTGAATTTAGTGCTAACCAGAAATAATAGTTTATCTGATAAATGTGATGGATGACCACAATTATCGGTCACTCGACAAAAGACTTCAGTAAAACCTCCAGGGTGATCATAAGTTGGGCTCAGCCTCCCTATTTGTGCATTAAAATCTACTGTCAGTTCGGCGACATAAGATCGTTTTGATTTTAGCAGGAAAATAGGGAACCTCTGATAAAACAACTTTTTACCTAAATACTTAGGACCGTGAAACCTAATATACTGTTGAAAATACTATATATATATATATATATATATGGTAGAAAAACCATTAATATCTAGCATATAATTAACAGAACCGGAACGTGTGATTATATTATTCTCTTTGACAATCTCGGATTCCTGATAGTAGCAGTAATTTGTAAATACACAATAACAAACCTGTGCACTAGAACATACCTTTTTCCTGAGTCACAAGATACCAAACGCTTGATTTTCTATAAATATACCATGAAGAATTACTAGATTGTTGACCATAAGTACCACAACATTTAAACTATACTTGTCATATAACTTTTGCACTTTGCATACCTTAAACTGAATTTCATCCACTGTCATTGTTATATCCACATTTCGACGAAGTGACATATTAACTCCATAATACTTAGTTAAAGCCAGTGTAAATTTAGTCGGTAACTCATTTTCCAACTAAAAATATATGATAAAACATATTGTCACCTGTAGCAGCAGCATATAACCACATACGCTTACTGATAAAAAGGCTACAACAAGAATAAAAGTACAGATGATATGCTTTTATATCATAATGTCGAATCCAACATACTATTAACAATAACATAGGGCTCTCTACGTTGAAGATACAATATCCAAAAACAACCACTCCAGCCCCAAATATAGATGACAGAAGCAAAATAAGTTTTCCAGATGAGAAGTAATATGTCTTCAAAATAGTTTCGAACTGAGAAAATCTTAATGTCCAGATCAATAACCAGCATGCTAGACCAATAAGAGTTGCCATTAACACCTAGTGAATAACAAGTATATTCGAATCGTACCAAGAACAATATATGATGAGCTATCAGGCTGTTTTTCAACCAGACACTAACATTAGTTTGTGCTGGACGATAAACTTTGAAACCCATGTGTCAGAAATTCGTAAATTATAGCCTCCATTACTATAGTAGCAGTACCCAGGAGGTTAGAAAAACAAAGCTGATAAATTCTTGAGATTTCTATCTGTCAAAGTAGGGTGTTAATGTACAAATCTTTAATCCAGTGCCAATTAATTCTAAATACTGGAAATTCGAAATGGGAAAACCAATCATTTAACTTACATAAACAATGGATTTCTGGTCACCCCATTTAAATCATACCATGCGGATATGAACACATAGCCTTCTTATGTCTCTGAGGGAAACGAAATAACTGTCTTCGTCTAAGTTTCATGAAAGGAAAAGTTATCTGAAAGTATTTTCATCATTTGCAATTGATAGTGTTCTCTGAGCTCCTTGGTTTAATTGCGGAGCTTTCATCGTCTTTCTGGACAACATCTTCAGCGCAGTATTTAGGATAAAGTGAAATTATTTAAATTTCTTCATGAGTCTCCCGGTAACCATCTTTAGATATGTATTGACCGTTTTCTATTGATTGGGATTTTAAACTTTCTGATCACCTGATTTACTTTTTATTAGTTGGTATATTTCATCTATATTAACGTGTTTATTAATTGCGTTTTCATTTGAGTACCAGGCTTCTAGGAATTCCCTGGCACATTTGGTGTTTCCTCTGTTTAAGATTTTGACATTATCCCAATCAAATTGATGTCCATAATCGTCTGCATGCATTTTTTTTTTTGATTTACAGCTTGATTCCACACTGTATTTTTGGGACAAGTATGGAATTTTCAGCATGGATATCGTTAGCCCAAATTTTGCAGGCCGACCATAGATATCAGGTGTGCGCCGGCGTGGGCTCGAACCCCGGACCATGTGCATGGTCGGCGAGAGTCCTAACCACTGTGCCACCGACGCATGTATATCATGTCATTTCATGGCTGATTTGTGTTCCTGGATTCTTATTCGAAGGAGACGCCCACTTTGGCCGATGTAATGTTTGTTACAGTTCATACAATTCATCGGCCAAAATGGGCGTCTCCTTCGAATAAGAATCCAGGAACACAAATCAGCCATGAAATGACATGATATACATTCTTTAGTATCAATGCATGCAGACGATTATGGACATCAATTTGATTGGGATAATGTCAAAATCTTAAACAGAGGAAACACCAAATGTGCCAGGGAATTCCTAGAAGCCTGGTACTCAAATGAAAACGCAATTAATAAACACGTTAATATAGATGAAATATACCAACTAATAAAAAGTAAATCAGGTGATCAGAAAGTTTAAAATCCCAATCAATAGAAAACGGTCAATACATATCTAAAGATGGTTACCGGGAGACTCATGAAGAAATTTAAATAATTTCACTTTATCCTAAATACTGCGCTGAAGATGTTGTCCAGAAAGACGATGAAAGCTCCGCAATTAAACCAAGGAGCTCAGAGAACACTATCAATTGCAAATCATCCACCTGAGTTACAAATCTTTTATATTATTTTCATCATTGTCAAACATAATCTAGATTCCTGACGCTTAGCAGATATATTCATCCGAAGATGCGTTTGTATCGTGAAAACAATACAGAATAAACTTTCACAATAGTTTATTTGCATACGTTTAACTGTGTACCATATCATCAAATTAATTAGGGAAGTTTTGACTGAAATGTTTCAGTGAAACTTCTGAACAAAGTACATTGAATTTTAGAGCATATTTAATTTTTTTTTGATTTTTTTGATTTACAGCTTGATTCCACACTGTATTTTTGGTACAAGTAAGGAATTTTCAGCATTGATATCGGCAGCCCAAATTTTACAGGCCGACCATAGATATCAGGTGTGCGTCGGCAGAGGATCGAACCTCAGACCATGTGCATGGTCGGCTAGAGTCCTAACCACTGTGCCACCGACGCACCTGTCTTATGAATTCTCCATGAAATGAATCGTATTTAATGTTTGTTCAGCTTAAACGCTGCAGACTTAAGTAACTTTGGTGATTTGTGATAACTGCGGGATCGGACTACGAAAATCACTTCCTCAGTAAGTCTAATGAGTCATCTATTTTCACTTATATAATGAAACATTTTCAGTGTCTGGTAGTACAAGTAAACGTGTGGACAGAGTGAGTATTGTTATGTATTTTGTTCTGTAGGGGGTCTATTAGTTCTCGGCTCTTGGTCCATGGTATCCATCTTACCAAACCGTCATATATATTTGGTGGATATACAACCTGGGGTCACCATGATGACATGAAAACGTTTATTTTAGTGGCTTACTTCTAACCCTGTTTTCCTTTTATGAGACCAGACAAAATTAAATTGTGTAATAAGGACAGAATAGTATTCTGACTTTCAGATGTATATTTGTCACTTCGCGTTGTCGAAACTAGAAGACTGCTCGCTTAAATAAGAATTGTGGAAGAACGTTAGAATGTCACACTAAACATTGTGAGATGCCAGAGGTGCTTTATCTGGATTAGTCAACTTAACAAGCACATTAGAATTGAGAGGACAATCAGCAGATTTTGAATCGTGATGTGTCTGTAGGACACTGATGAAATGATGCGTGGCTAGCTGCGCTTATGATGGCTACATGACGACCTCATTAAGAGACAAAAGAAGAGACAATGCTTGCAGCATCAGTAAAACAATTATAATTGAAAAATCAAAAACGAATATACCTCTGTATTAGTCTATTCAAAAGAAGGGAAAGAATAAGTGGATTCAGGTGTTCAACCTTCATACTCTGTTCAAATTGTGTCCAATTGTCAGTGCATCTGGAGGAAAAAGAAGTGCTTTTTCAAATAATTAGGACTAAAACGTGACTCCAGATTCAAAAAGCTCCAAAAAAGCTACACAGAAGTCGTGAAGAGAAAAAACAATGAGGTTTAATAGGCGCAGTCGACAAAATAGCTAGAAGATAGAAACACTCAATTCAAACTGACTTCATGAAGAAATAAGTAATAATGGCTTTGTCTCAGACAGCAAGTGTGACACAATGTGGAATTTTCGGCACCCAGCAAAATATTGATTTTAATGTTCTCATTACATCATATGGTAAGGTAGAAATAATTAACGAGACATTTTGATTGATACTAATTTCGACAAAGGTACGAATGAAAAATTAAAGCTGAGCGAGAGAAAGAATAAAAGGGGTCGTTTATCAACTGTCACGAATTAAGCTGCTATTTTCATGCCTAACACTTTCATTATCGCACGAACTGATTGCCAAACAGGGTATCATGGAGTTTTGTACGTGATCACCTGAAAGGAAAGTCTTTTATGATCGTTCTCAGTCCTTCCTAACGGGAAGCAGGGTGAAATTTGTGTACAAAAAAGAAGACGCTGATAGACAGACAAGATTGTTATTATTGTTCCCTTGAGTTGCGAGTAGAATATACCGCTTCAACAACACATCTCCGCTTTGTTTATCTTCTGCTCTCCTCTTCAGCTTGGACTACGGTTGCTCACAATCTCTCGTCTTCTCACACGATCTCCCCTGTGTCTCCGTTTTCATGCCGGTCCACTCGTCCCTTCTCATTCCGACTCTACTCGAGGTTATGCCTGGCGCGCGATTTCGCTTGACGGTCTCCTTAATATATGCACAGTTCATCTCCATTTTCACCCACATATTTGTTTAGCGATGGGCTTTTGGTTGGTTTGTTCCCAGGTAGGGTTTCTTGTTGCAGATTCTTTCTCGCAGACAGTTTGATCTACAGTAGGCAGGCAGCTGTTGATGTTAGTCTGCAACCCGTTGGAAATGCTTTTCGATACACGTTGGTCAAGTTTCTGACCCTTATAGAATCGCTGAATTCACGTTTGTGTCGAACGTCCCAATCTTGTTCTTTTTATACTGGCTGAGTGCAGAAAATTCGAAATATGATCTTAGGTTGGTGAAGATGTATCTTGCCTCCCTGATTCTCACTGGCTTTTACATCTTCAACTGTTCCGCCAGCCTGTGGTTGAAACAGCGCTAACTGCCTAAATAATTGAAGGAGTTAACCTCTGTTAAATCTCTCATTGATGGTGATTTGTGCTGGTTGTTGTTGCTTTCGCTCTTACCTCCGTTTCCTCTGTTAAACTTCTGTTCGAGTTCGTTTGTTTTTGCCTGCAAGCCATCAAGTTTTTGTGATGCTTAACATATATAATCTGCGAGATCCAGATCTTCTAGAGTTTTCTGGCCGGTCATCGCAGCGTGTTCCTGTCTTCTTCCTCCCCACAGTCTGTCTGATATATAAACCAGTCCACCACAATTAAGAACATGGTCGGTGGCAATAGGCAAGCAGCCTTACCTTTCTTGTGTATGCACTTCGACCCTCTCGCTTGGTTTTCGTTGTGGACTACCTGACACACAGTGTAGTCATGCTGCTGTTGAATGAGTTTGATAAAGATTTTAGGTACAGCGTAGTGTTGAAGAAATTTCCAAATTACTTCTTAAAGAACGCCCTCGAGATCCTTTTCAAAGTCGATTATTTTGATCTAAGAAGAGGTTTGACTAACTTTCTATGGTTTTGTTGTGTCATGACAATGCGTAGAGTTGCGATTTGATCAGCACATGATCTGCCTTTCCTGTATCCAGCTTGTTCCAGTGGGGCGAAGTTCCGAATCAAACGCATCCTTTGTTCTCTCCAGGATGATGCGACTTAATATTTTACTTGGCGTGGACAAGGGTATTATACCACGACAATTTCTGCAGAGACGTAAGTCGCTCTTCTTTAGTAGCTTGACGAGGTAGACAACTTTCCTTCCATTTCATAGGTACCTTTTCTTCTTTTCAAACCCTTCGCAATAGAGGCGTGAGAACATCTGTCGCAGTATCTGGGCCTGTTTCCAGTGCTTTTGGGGAGAATTCCGTCTGGTTCTCCTGCCTTCCTGGACTTCAGTATCTTGATTGCATTTAGGGTTTCTGATTCCGTTGAAGGATTGGTACCAACTGACAGTTCTGTGCGTGCTGTTGGTGGTGTTGTTTCCTCCTTGGTAATCAAGTTCCCTTGAACATCTTTTATTGGTTTCATCATATGGGTTGATCTCTTCCCGGATAGAGACCTGGTTGCCTGATATAATGTCCTGAGGTCTCCTTCACTTGCGCAGTGCATGCCTGATCTGCTTCATTGCCAGCCAGCGAGACGCATATAGAATGTAGTGATTGGATCCATGTCAGGGCCAGGTGCTGATTTTGTAGAGGCGATACTACGA